ACTAGACTCTCTGGCTTAAAGATTTAAAATCAAAACTCCGGGACCTACTACTAAAATTAACACTAGACGAATATTTTTGAATTGAAATGTATAATATAATTAGGCAGCTCAGATTCTTTAACGCTACAAACTTCTGCTATTTCAGAAGCAAATAAAACAACAATACCTATTTTCAACTGGCTACTTCTCAATCAACACTATAAGTAGTTTAACATAATGGTTTCAGGATATCATCATGAATCATTGTCATGACTTGACAATCACGTAATATGACTGATAAAATTGATGAAACTATTAACAAACTCGGTCAACAAATTGACTTATAATTATCATTACATAGTGTTGTTCCCTCGGTATCTTCATCTATTACAGATGATCTTCAGTATGTTTCTCTATCAGTTGCTCACTCAATAAACATCTCAAAACCTTTTCAGTCTAATTAGAGGTTCGGCCACACAATCACGCATGCCACTCGTCAGTATAAGCAGTCATGCAAATCTCCTGCAAACTGAAAACATCACTGTCGAATTTACCCAAACACTGACTAAGGTTCAAGCCATTTTCATAGACATGAGTTGGGAGTGTATTCGCGTTAGTTACAACTTATGTTCTCCCTGATAATCACATGAGCATCACTCACTGTTAATTATCTTGTGAAAACTTATTTAGACGAATACATCTTGCAGCACCACATCACCTAGAAATGTGGTACATAGGCTTAGTTGATCTCAATAACTTATAATCACCATATTTCAATGAAATAGTATTCCGACTTATACTAAACTGCATACTTGCAGCTAGCTTGTATGCACCATCAGCCGGTAGGTATGAATATAAATAAATAGTTTATGGCAAATCAGAACATTGAGTCTAGAGCATGTCTCTTACTACTACACTAATGTTTAACGAAGTGCACTTAGCCATCTGTTCAAAATTGACATAATTATCACTTTTCATGTACTAAAACGTTTTTTGATAACCATTCATATGTATTAATAATATTATTAAATTCTATCACGGTTAAGTAAAAATGAGATCGAAAAAATCTCCTCGTGACCAAATAAACAGTATCAAACTAATCGGAACACTAGTTGGAATTCTTCTCCATGGTTATGCTTTTGTTCTTTCAGTAAGCCACTCATGCAGATGCAATCGTAAATCAACTCATGGACACCTAACTGGCATAAAAGTTATGTGACTTCACAATTTCGACCAAAGTCACTACCGATATTAACACTTCTACAGTATTGATTGGTTTTAATATTTCTAAACAAAAAATACTTACTACCTATAAGTTAAGTTATTAACCAACAGCTATTAATACTCCTCTTACATTCTATTATTATCGTTATAATCCCATATTTTATAGCCCAAATAATCTTCACCCAAAACTTCATTTTAAGCGCGTAAAGCATGAAAGGAGATATTTTAAAATTATTACGTGTATTTCCCGGTCAGATGCTGCCACCTTCTTTTCGATTTATCTTTCAGTCTATCAACACCCGGAAGATTTTTACTATTCTTGGGAAACTCCGGTGCGCGACAATCCCACTCAATTTGTTATCGAGCCAACGTCACGTTGATTCTGGTCGGAGAGTGGGGTGGTGGCATTGGGCCCTAACACGAAACAGTATGGGAAGCAGACATCCAACATTTAACGCGGTGAAAAACCAAACGATAAAGAGGGCAGGAAGAATGAATTGAATTAAATCGAGTTGACCGGATGGCATGGCTCAGCCTTGCAGGCATGGTACCTTCTGAATGTTATCTTACGCCTTTTTTCATATTAAATATATTGTTCTTTCTCTAGCCTAAGCTTCTTCTCCATCATGTATTGGTAATTGTTACGACGCAATAAGTTGGTGTAGACGATGATGTGTCTCCCACATAAGATCTTAAAGATTAGGCAGTTATATCATGACAAATATACGATTTTAGGATTAGGTCTATTATTAGAGCATTACTAATATCGTAGTAGACCATAATTCTATACATCGACCTATCGTTGACCGATAGTGTGGAGAATCGGGAACATTTATCAATCATGTGATTTTCCCAGCATATAACACAAAGTGACCTGCTAACAATTTTACCGGACGATAACCTTTGTGTGGAACAGGCTACCCTGCTCACAACTCGTTTACTAGTTGTTGCTATCTGTTCAAATCTACTGAGTAATAGTTCTGCTCTAGCTGATACAAATCCAGTTAACTCGGCGAATGTAGGCTCTCTCACATTTGCTGTTAGTTTTCCGACTGTTTCAGCCCATTTCATCTGCAATGCCGTGGGAAACTTTCTTACAAATGTTCTATAGTTCCTAGGGAATTGAGATTCGATAAGTAATCCAGTTGCTCTAAAGCTATAGAACGGTTTTCCATTTTTATTGCCAACCTAGATAGACTTTATCCGTCGTTTTTCTCTTTATTAAGACCCCCAGTCCAATCTTTTAGCAACGCTCGTCTTACTTCGTGTGTTCTACCAAACAACCGTTTCAGTATATCGCATGCTTTACGATTACCCGATGATGGTGGAAGCATTATGCATTCTTCTATGGTCTCTCGAGCCTTACCTTTACAATAATGTGACAAGAACGAGAGCAGTTGACCATCGTCTTCGACCTTGGATATCACATATACTTCGAACTGTACTGTCTGGTTGCCCACCAAAAGTACTTAGTTCTACCTCAAGACCCACACTTAGAGATGTTAAGGTCATTTCCTTCTTCTTCGTTCGCGGATAGTCTAACAGATTCGGCTTTTCTGGGGACTTGATTCTGTCATGAGAACAACTTACGAAACTGTGAGCATACTCCTGTCCTATGTCATCACAGTTGGAGGCAGAAGATACTTGACTGCAATGTTCTCTTTTAGCCTTAACGACCCTAACTCTCTCTGAAGGTACAACAGCTGCTTCCTCTGCCTATGCTTCAAATCTGTAATCTCTCATAGTTGTCTTTCCCTCAACCACTTTTCTTTTAGATCTGCTAGAGTGATGCTAGCGCTCATTTTGCTGTGCCTACTTACTAAACTGGTATTAAAGCCATGACATGAAGATGAATCAAAACGAACTTGCCGTATATCAAGAGACGCATTTGAATGCATTTCTTCGTGACCCAACATCAGGTTTCCGTTGACATTATTGCGCTTGCCAGGCATTGCAGTGTTTGTCACTTGTAATTACTGTTCATTTGAGAACTGTAAAGACCGAACTGCCAGTATTTAGTTTGAACGCAGGACTAACGAACTAAAACGTATTCGGATAGGCCAGACTACGCTCTTCTATATAGCATACGAAGCGTTCTTGAGATACTCGTGTTAAATTATATCAAAACACAAACTCTGCCCAATTTAAGTGGTTCTAACTTAGAAACTAGAACAAATTATATCAAAAATACGAAATACCTCAAACGGTACAGCCTGTGCTATACAGTCAGAAGTTTCTCTAACGCAAAGTAGTGCGCTAAACAACAAAAGAAACAGTTAATATCAAAGGGTTTGGTACCTGGGAATCAATAAAAATATTCCCAAAAAATGGGATCAAATGTCTCTCTGCAGGGATTGCAGCGATCCTCCCAAGCAGACAGTCAATAAGTTAACAGTCACACACTGAACCATGCCGTGACATTGAGCTTAGTCAAACACGACCTTACTGTCAATAGTCCGGCAACATGCAATAGAAAATTAGGTAACAAAAGATAAGTCTTTAATCAAAATCACATAATAAAAGCTCAAACGAGGAAGACTGAAGAACAAAAGGTGTGGTTAGACGAGATCTGAATGAAGATTAAAATACACGACTGGGAAAAGAAACAAATAAATGACAGTGCTGTCCAACAAAAAAGCTGCGGAGGGGATTTCGTCATTCTCTTTCCGTTACAGATAGAATATGATTATTAGATAAATGGAAAGCAAAACAAACTATAGAGATACAGATACACGGCAATCAAATTAATCACACAAATGAACACAAGATACCCAATTGAGTCGGAATCATGTTACATGATGCTACATCTTGTATTTCAAAAGGAGTACACAGTTGTGTTGAGTTGATGCGTCTGGACTTAGCACCATAAATGTTGTCTGGTTAATGGGCTTTATGAAACATAGTTTCCGAATATTTGGACGCTACCATATCGTCCTCGCCACATCGGTAAATTGGTTCTATAGCTGAAGTCCGCTGAGATTCAGTCGCCTTTTGTTTGTCATTGTTGAATTTGGCCCACCATATGGATTAATAGAATAAAAATAAAGAACATTTAACGCCTGTTGTTTACTTCTCAGTTCACTCCATCATTTAGATTACTCAGTAGTTGAAATTAAAACAGACATGAGATTCCTAGGACACAACTCTCATTCAGATACCTTTTAAATAGGGTTTTAGTTTTCTAACTCTGTTAAAAGGATTAAGAAGTCCACTTTTCGCAGGACGAAGTCTTTGACCTGATATAATAGCATTTGACAGCCATATCAAATTGGTTATATTAAGTACATATAAAAAGGATAAAACCAGACTCTGAAAAATACTCCCAAAGCAAAAGCCTCCTACTTAGGATAAATTCTTTGGTATCGCTTAAGTAAAATTCACCATGACTTACAATTAAAGTACTCCAGTTTCAAGACTGTAGAATTTAAAATCTTTGCTACTGGGTTCAGTTATTTCGGAAGCTTTAGTGACCGCGCTTGCCTACCACTTTCGTTGTTTTCCTTTATAACGGCTTCCCTTAAGTAGTGACCAGATGAATATGCGAATATAAGTCTTCGAAATCTTTCTTACCCGCAGCAAGTAGATAATGGTTACTAGCAACCTTAGATATTAATAACATGTTACCACAAACTTAAGGAATTTAATTTTTTATAATTATCTATTGTTTTTAAAAAGTTACTTATAGGATTAATCAAGAATAAAGATTTCTTAGAGCATTCTATTGATCTTAGGACTACAATAGTACGGCTTGTTTTAGTGAGCTAAAGGTATATTAACCATTTGTACTCTGACCATAAGTAGTTGTGTACGTGATTAAAGTACGTTAGCAGTTGGCTTTTCTACTGTAAGTTTTATTATATTCTGGATAGCTGACTCAGCGAATTCTAGGTACATCATACTGTTTTAAAATGTCACGCTTTCATCTTTACTTAACTGAAGCTCAAGAGAATGACCTACGCCGAATTGCTCAAGCTATTTGTGCTCCTGGCAAAGGAATTCTCGCAGCTGACGAAAGCACAGGTATTTCCGCCTCAATTTTTATTTATTTTAATTTTAAAAGCCACGATGGGTAAAAGACTTCAACAAATCGGAGTTGAAAATAACGAAGAAAATCGTCGTCTGTACCGCCAGCTACTTTTTAGTGCTGATCACAAACTGGCCGAAAATATCTCTGGAGTAATATTATTTGAAGAGACACTTCATCAAAAGTCAGACGATGGAAAGACTCTTCCCACTCTACTGGCCGAACGAAATATCATACCAGGAATAAAGGTTGACAAAGGCGTTGTTCCACTTGCAGGCACAGATAATGAGACAACAACTCAGGGTCTTGATGATCTTGCTTCACGCTGTGCTGAGTATTATAAACTTGGGTGCCGCTTTGCTAAGTGGCGTTGCGTTTTGAAGATCTCTGCCCACACACCCTCATATCAAGCTATGCTCGAAAATGCCAATGTACTTGCACGTTATGCTTCCATCTGTCAGCAGGTTAGTTTACTAATCAGACAAAAACATTTTACTCATCAAAAAATTTTTAATAAGTTTTTGACAAACAGCGTATGTCAACAATTGAATTGTTGGTAAAATAATTAAGGGTTAAGAAGTAAGATGGCATCTTAAAATTTAGTAAAATATCAAAAGGATTCTGACTTGCTCTACTCAACAATCAAAAATAGAAAATACCAGGAAGCTGCGTAGCCGGTTAAAATCTCACTCAAATTAATTCTAATTCATATATTTTGTGATTTAATGACAGATTGTAAGCTTGAACCTTATGTATGAAATAAAATCTGACATTTGTTGGGGATAAGCAATGAGACCTGTATTATTTAGAGCTCTTGCAAGCCTTACTTTCAGGCAAGAGGACATGCAGCCATCATTTGGCGATCGTCTGTGGTTTATTAGTCCATTATTTTCAATGACTTTGAAATTATAATGCTTAATATTTATAGAGAAGACATATTATTCTTGCAGTTCCGTTAGTTATCGAGATATATTTATCTGACATTAATTTTGTCTGTAATTTATCGTTCTACGACTTTATGTTAGCTTAGGATTCACCTTTCATCTTTTTCATCGTGCGAGGCTTTGTATCGCCTAAAATAATCTTTCAATAGTGGTTGGTTACAGGCGTATCATTTTTATAGCGTAAAACATAATAGTATATTGGGTTGTTTATTGAGATACACCTAGCTCGTTTTAGTACCTATAGAGACATTAAGTCACTAATATTTACTATTTTCAACTCTTAAGGAGCAATGCTTATATCTGTCTGAGCCATGTTGATAGATGCAGACTACTTGGTTGGAGTCTGTAGGGCCATTGTAATCAGTGGTCGGAGACTCTGGGTGATATAACTCAGAATCGACCACAATGGCTTAGATGTGTACACTCTTTGTCTTCCAATAAGCCGTGATATTAAAACCAATTTATACTTTTCTCTACGAAGTAATTATTTCTCCCTGTATCATATAATTATATGCAGTAATTTCTACATATTACTACCATTAAAGTGACTGCTTCTATAAATTTGGTGTTCATCTTGTTGTGAAAATGGAGTACAGTAACTTAAACTGATGCATACATGTGCCTGCTTTTAGGTTTTAGATGATTGACTGTCCTGTATTTTTGTTATTAATTACAAATTCTTCTGTTTTCGTTTATAGTCTACAAGATCTTATCAAGAAAACTATCAAGTATATTTATTGACATCGGCAAAGTCATTATTCTTGCCGACTATAGTCTGCGGGTCTTAAATCCCCATTTCACTAAAACGACAATCAAGTTTTATGTCATACAAACTATGATGTTTTTAGATTATTTTTTATCAGTTCAAAATATTAATTCAGTACATAACAGATCACTTTGTCTCGGATACAGCTAAGGCAAATAATCCATTCGCGGCAATTATTGAGTTTTATTAAAGAGAAGAAATGTATGCACTATTTTTGTTATAGTATGAATAAATCTACGTTTCTAGACCTCATTATACCGTGCAAAAATGCTTTTGTGGTGTTGCTTTATTTATTCATATGTAGGGCGTGTTATAAGATGGGACCACCATTATCAGTAACGATGAGTGGCAGATTAGAAATCTTAGGAGCTCCTGATAAAAGCTTGAAGAAATGTCTTCATGATCCAGACGTTTACTTGTGGTTTTAGCAAGTAAAATAATATTCAGTATTCACTATTTATGAACGTTTGTTGTAGATACAAAGTATTTAAGAGTCTTAGCTGTAAGTTAATCTCTTTTCTGGTCGACAGAAAATTCTCAGGTTAATTACTAGTTTCAAACTATTTTCGTTGACTAAAAAGATCTAGTAGTTTGGGCATATAATTATCTTTCGTTAAAAGTCAATATTTACATATTTTCCTTTCATAAAGCTAAACCTAAAACTGTTTAATGATTTCAATTATTAGTATAAAAAACCACTACTACATAATTAAAACCAGTGGTTTATTTCGGGTCATGCAGTAAATGTTAACGGATTGAAATTCAGCCTTAATTCGTAATTTTCAGTCCTGACTTGGAGTTCAAGCTCTGTATTGCTTTACAATTCCTAGAAAAGTGTCTAAGTAGTGGATTTTTACCTTTATTCTTCCTAGTCCTTTTCTTCAAGCTTAGGAACAGTTATAATGTGGTTTAGTCATGATAAAAGTTAGTAGTAAAAAGCGATGTTGGTTTAAAGAGCTTCCTTGTAAAGAAAAATCGTTTGAAAGACTCAGTGGAGGTGTAAGGTTGTTAAAGACGGAGAAGCAAAAAGTGAACATTGATTTACTGCAAAAGCAAAGGTTATGGAGATCTACTTGGAAATTCTTATCATATTCATACCCTGACAAATTATTCGATAATTCACCTTTATAATCCATTTAGCCTTACTCCAATTATTTCTGTTTGCATGGTATAAGAGCTTCAAATAATATAAGTCTTTGCAAACATTGTAAATTTTAGAATGGTTTGGTACCGATCGTTGAACCTGAGGTGCTTCCTGATGGTGATCATGATTTACTAACTGCTCAAAGAGTAACAGAAGAAGTTTTGGCATTCGTGTACAAGGCTTTAGCCGACCATCATGTTTACTTAGAAGGAACGCTTTTAAAACCCAATATGGTCACTGCTGGACAGGCCTGCAAAAAAGCTTACACACCTCAAGAAAATGCTTTAGCTACTGTGCGAGCTCTTCAGCGCACAGTCCCTCCAGCTGTTCCAGGTATGATTTTACCTTTTAGTTAATTGATCTTGAACAAGCCATGGTGGACTACAATCAAACTTCTTCGTTTTTAACTGTTTGATTTTAGGTATCACATTTTTGTCTGGAGGTCAATCAGAATTGGACGCTACTAAAAATCTGAACGAAATCAACAGAATCCCGGGACCAAAGCCATGGGCACTCACTTTTAGTTTTGGACGTGCTCTACAGGCTTCAGTCTTAGCCACATGGAAAGGAAAGAAAGAAAATGTCCATGCGGCTCAGGAAGAACTATTGAAATTGGCCAAAGTAAATATATAAGCTTACTTTTACGTCTGTTTTTGTTGGTTCTAATAAAACTGTTTGGTTTTATTCCGCATTCAAGTTTGTTTACCATTTCAAAAGGCAGAAGAAATATCTAAGTTCTAGAACTAACAACACATAGGGATGATGTTGAGAGTTGAAGTCGATAACCCTTTGCGATCTTTAAGACAAGATACAGGAACTCAAATAATGCAGATGACTCCTAACGGCTTTATCATGTGTTATTACAATGCTCTAACATTAACAGACGCTTTCATATTTTAACTTTTATTTCTGATAAAAAATAATCCAAATAAATAGTTTTTGTAAAACATTCTTTACAAGACATTTCAACTTTGTGTCAGTGTTTTTAACACTTATAATAGTTTAGTAATAATACCCTTATTGAATACCTGAACTAATTTACAATTATTTCAATCTTTTAGGCAAATGGTGCTGCTGCTGTTGGCAAATTCGAAGGAAATATGGGAACTGCTTTGGGAGACAAATCGTTGTTCGTGGCTAATCATGCTTATTAAACCATTATATCACCCAAATGTTATCTAATTTGAAGCCCCTCAATATTTAGCACAACTAGTCGACATCATAACTAACTGACTAACATTTTTCATATGATTTAAGATTAAACCAATTTTCAGATCAATTCTGTTTTATTCCTATTTTTGTTCTTAAATACCGCCATACGTTACTTTTCTTAATAAAAACAATATTTACTGTTGTACTTCATAGTATTAGCTGGTTTATGAAGTCATAATAACCAAGTAAATATACATTCTCCCCATACAAATGACTTTTCCCAGTTATCGAGTGTCTATAGGACTTGCTTGGATACAGGAAGCCTAACTGAGACAATTTAAGAAGAATATGGTGTAACTCGTGTGATCTAAGATTCATGTATTACTGGATGAGTGTTTTGTTCTATTTGGGACTAGTCAGCTGGATTTATCTGAATCCCAGTATTGATGTTAATACAAATACTCGAACCCCATACCTTCTAATTCAAACGTCGACATGTTATCCGATGAACTAGTGAGTTCGTCTAACCAATAGCTTAGTATCGCAAAGACTTAATAATGCTTACATATTATCTAAACAAGTTATCGACTATCCGAACTCAGTATCTCAGTGAAAAAACGCTTAGACATTTGAAGCTTATGATGCTGGATTTCAACCTCATCATTAAAATGAAATCATGAATCCAGGTACATCCAGCTAAAGAGTCTCAAACAGGACGAAATGCTCATCCCAGATTCCATTCTAAGCTACTGACCAAATATGCATAAGTTTTTTAGAGTGTACTCAAAGTTATGGTAATTGTTCGTTTCTAGCATAACCACATTCACTAATAATGTAGTTCGCATAGATTTTTCAGATGATTCCAGCTGTTTAAAACGTAAGCTATCTTCAGTGTTGTGTATATCATTTGAAAAAGTATCTGAAAAATAATTGTTCAAATAACGAGTGAAATAATAAGACTTAATCATCGATAATCCTGTGAATAATCTAATCGTCTTCTCATTTGGTAAGTCAGTGGTTCATTATCTAGTTTAAGTTAGATATGTTTTGAGAGTTTTTCCGATTTGGCACCTCACTATTCACGAAAATGTATCATTATGGTTCCTTAAAAAGCTATCTGACAATTAGTCAATCATGATCAGTGTACAACTTGGAACATATGCATCGATTAAAGTTGCCGCACTATGTCAGCATAGTAGGAGCAGTAGTACTATCAGTGTTAGTACAAAAGATTAGGCATAGACCGTATGGCACGAGAAGAAAGAATGCGTTCAAGAAATACAAAATATAAGATAATTCCAAAAATTATGATAGAAAGCAGGAGGAAGAGGGAAAGTATATGTGCCACCTAGGTCGATTCTTAATTGAGTCACCCGACGTCTTCAACTATTGGTTGTGGTGATCGTGCTAACCAGAACTTGATATTCAGTACATGTTAACATTGGCTTACTCTAACAGTCAATGAATTCATGGGCTGATACTTGGTTTGACCACTCAGCTTTCGTTCAACCTACGATCAGTCAGAAACTATAAGATCAAATGAATAACTCAAGTAACTTACTGAAGACATTTAAAAATTGGTTAGTTTTAGTGTTTGTTGTGAACACCAGAAGAGTTAGTCTATAAATCACTAATAATTTTGAAGATGTCTAAAACATTTTTTGTGGGTTTCGCTCAAAATTATTCAGTTGTAAAGCCGACAGTATTTCTGGAAACTAACATAGTTATATGTTCTGTGTTGAAGTATAAAGAAAGTATACACATGATTTTAGTGATTTAGTTGGTTAACTAAATTCAACCTAGCGATAAAGACTATACTGATGATATATTTTAAGAAAAAATGGGATCTTTGTTTTCGAAGTCTTCAAGTTGTACTAAGCATGTTGCATTCGACCATTTTTTTTATTTATTTGACTGGTGAGTGAAGAAAATTAAAATGTAGTTTTCACTATGTCTTTCATTTCAAGCCTTAACTTTCAATAAATATATGTTTTTTATCAACCATATTGGTCTGGGGAATAGCGACACATTGGTAGCAGACATTTAAGAACAGAAAAAATAAATTGTCAAATAAAAGTTATACTTAGATTAGAACCTACCACTTACAAAACAAATGGACAAATCGCCAAATGCGAGACATTTATTTAACTCTGAAAACGTTGCCGATAACTTCACGCAAAACTATCCAATGGATCACTTGATGTATAACTGGTGCATAACATAACCAAGTTACAATTTTCACATGGTTGAGTTTAGCGAGGAAACACTTTTTACTGATCAAACTGATTAGTTTAAAATTATGAGACACGTATCGTAATCAAACGACTAGAATCGTTCAAAACACTCTGTTTTTTAATCTGTATACGTATGTACATATATTTTTATGACACTTAAGAATGAGTTAGCTAGACAACTTTTGTTTCTTTATTATTTCATCGCAGATTGATTTGTAATTGACGGACAATACAAAAGCTCAGAGTAGCTAGTCCATTATGATTCGGAAATACCAAACAGTGTTCCTTTGTGGCTTATGACCCCACACTTATACCACAAATCAGATATCAGTGAGTCACTCAATACAAATCTAGTATTCTCGACTTCCGAATTTGATCAATTTACGATATAATGTTGGTTTCTAGAACAAACTGAAGTCGAAAAAAATAGTTTCGATTCCTAGTTAGGGATTTAGACGCGTCTCTCTCGTCAGAAAAGTGTTAGTTCCCTTGAGATTAAAAACATACCTAAAAGTACCGTTTAGCATGAAATCGAAATCTAAGCATTATATACAAATCACTTCGAAACGTTTAGAAGAAAAACAGTTTTACGGAAGTCTAATGTGTCGCAGCTTATTTCTCAAAACGCATTCTTCATCCAATCAGGAATGGAATTGACCATTTACTTTAGGTAGTGATGATTGTCCGTCTATTATTCACATAGAGTAGTATAAAAATTTGACGCTGAGAGAAACCACATGAATCTTACCACATATTTATAAAGAGACGTTATTACGTAAAACTTGTGGTCATCAATAGATCTTCAAAACAAAAAAAGTTTTATAAGCATTTGATGCTGACTTTGGCCATGTTAGTTTCAATGTGCAATACTAGCTAAAAGCATCAAGTTAAACATCTCATAGCACAGTTTTATATGATTAGACACTTCTCTACGTTTAAATGTCCTGCTTCGAAGTTAGAGTTCTATTTCTATTTTCATTAAAAGTAAATTGATCTACCTTAACCATAATCATCTTCATTTGTTTATCTTCGAAATAAGTTAACTGGAAACCAATACTACCAGATTATGCAATGCCCAGAATAACTTCACCACGCATAAATGAGCACAAAGTACTTAGTGCCATATTATCAAAATAATAATTTAGTAGTTAGATTCACGAGTCAATTGAAGCTAGACCACCTGGAAGCACTGGACGACCGATTCGTCCTAGTATGGGACTCCTCAGCAGTGCGCACTGCTGTGGATTCTCATACTAGGACAAAACGACCATCCAGTGCTTCCAGGTTTTCCATGGTGGTCTAGCCTCAATTGACTCATTTAATTCAACTATTAAATTACTAAAATCTCCACAAAACCCTCTGAAAATAATAATTATTAATTCAAACTTGTATCAGTTAGTGATTAAAAGCTACAGTAACTTCAGAAATTTCAAAAGAATACTGAGTAGTCGATTTTCTTAAGTCGTCCCATTTTGAATGATAAATAACATACTTAAAGTACAATTTATCTCATTTATATTACATGTATTAATTGCCTACTACAGTTAATGTAAACATCACTAGTATCACTTTACCCTTATGAGGCCACTTATAAATGTACTTCAGTTAACAATATTTTATAGAAAGTTGTTATTTATAATTCAAAATAGTAAAATGTAAAATAAACAAAATCTTTTAAAATATCTACATAAAAAATTCACGTTACAGTTTCCTGGTTTAATTTAATGTATTGCTGAGCAATACACTCAGTCAGTCCTCTACAACGTAGGATCAGGCACATATGTGCATCGGTCCAAGTTACCATAGCACATTATTACGACATGATGAACGCCGGATTCATAAAAGTATTTCATTCAGTGGTGGTAATATATGAAAGAAAGATTGCATATAAGCATATAGTACAGGAAAAAAGAATTAGTTGGTAGAAAGAAAGATACAAAGCAATTTTAATCTCATAGTTTAAGGGAAGACAAAGTGTGTATGCACCTACGCCATTGTGATCGATTCTGAGTCATGTCACCAAGAATCTCAAACCATTGGTTTCAATAGACACGCAGACCCCAACAAAGTAGTGTGCATCTACCAACATGGCTCAGACCAGAAGTTAGTGACTTCAAGCATTCATCCAATCCACTAGGAAATAACTGTGTATATTATGACATGAGAATTGATTATTAAACAGTCATCGATATTTAAACTTCAATGTTGATAAAATTTTATCTGTAAAATTGCTAATCTAAATAGATGAACATTACGATTATTGAAGAAGACAATGTAACATCAGTTACTGCTGACTAATAAACCAGTGTGTAAACATATCAGTCCTACAAACGATCAGTAGTAACCAAAATGTCTGGTTTATAAAACCCATTAACTATTTTAATGTATGAGAAGAGTTCCAATTCTTTGGACGCAATCAGTTCTCTCCATGATAAGTAAATGACTAGATAAAAAGTTTTGAGTAGCGGCAAACATAAAATCAGCGCTTTCTGTGACCTGTTGGTATTCAATTCAATAACATACTAATCTGTAACATATTTGATGCATACCTAATAATCATATACAATGGATAGTTGTTGAATAAAAAATCAGTTTAGTAGAGTAGGTTAAGTTGTGAATTGTTAAATGGATAATTTCTGGTACAAATACTTAATGTTACACGAACAATACACTTAATAATAATATATGAATCGACTATTAAAGTTTATGCATTATTCAACATGAGAAAGTCTTAGTTAAAATAAAAGGTAAAATGATTGTTAAAGGTAAAGACAATAATCACTGTAGTTGAACAGAAATCATTTAATTTATATTACAATTAGATAACTAAAAAGAAAACAAACTACCCATTTATCAGTTTACTAATGAGATACTTTTTCCTAAGAAAGAACTTTATCAGAATTATGTGATATAGTTGCGTGGAACATTTGAAACAATCTGATCATATATATATTACACAATTCTGATAAACTTTATCTTCTCATTGAATTATCGAAATTTATCAAAGAGCTTAATTGTTTTAAAGAAATTTA